CTTCACCAATTCGCTCCAGATGGCGAACAATGGTTGAGTGGTCAACATTGACTCTTCCGCAATTTCCCGTGTTGTCTTACGTGAATTTTCTTCAATGAACGTTTCGAGTTGGTCGTCGTCAACGGTCAAACCCTACCTCGACCTTCCCTGTCTGACGAAGAAATCTCTGAAACCATCGCTACACGTTGCATTCGCGAATGTTTCCCTCCCTTCATACTATATTGATGTTATGCGCGGTTTGGCCGCACTTCACCCAAGTTTAAATTCGAACAAATAAATTTGATGAAAATTTATTTTAGACATATTTAATTTCGTAAGGTCCCACTCTTATAAAAGTCAATATAATCTAAAATGTTTTGTGTAAAAGATAACAGTATTTATTATAAACCATAAATTAGATATGGTGATGTGCGATAATAAAACAGATTTTCAAAACACACCAATCCAATAATAACATAAATGAATATCTGATGAACATGTCAACAACCGTTGTGAGTAACTTTCTTCAATTGGCAATGAAACTCATAAAATCCTTGACGCACTCTCACATGGCCTTAGAATTAAACACCATCCGGTATAAATACAGACAATATATTGTAAATTGTGATGTATAACGGTCATAATATAACATTTTTTCTGTTGTGGTTATTATAAGTTCTCTTATTTTTGAGAAGCATTGTCTTTTATGATAAAAGTTTTGTTTAAAAATGTTTTGACGTTTCGACACGAGCTTCGTAAAACGAAAGAAAATCCCTTTATAAGAACTGATATAGAATAAGAGTTTTTATTAATTATTGAAGGAGGAGAAAGTACCAGCATCGATGGACACGGCAAAATGTTGCAATTTGAAAGGAACACCCGAAGAGTTAAATGGGTCGTTGCTGTGAAGCGGTTGTACCATTATTCTCTCATTTCCTCCGTCACGCTGGGATTTTAGAAAAATATTTTTACCGTTCTCGGGACGATTTCTTCTTAAATGTTTCCGTCGATTTATTCCAAACAGTCAGTTCGATATCTGACAAAACATGACATTCTGACAGAAATCGTTCGAATTTTTGAAAAAAAAAAAACGGGAATTTTTCCGTTTACCAAGCAAGCGGTTTGATTATAAACGTGATATTTACATTCATGCAATTTAATTTGATATATGATCACTAAAATGGTCAAGGGGTAGAATAAAAACAAAATATCAACTTTGCCATGCTTTCGATTTTCTTCGAGGTCATCATCACCATTTTTACTATATTATATATGTGTGCTTCTTAGTGACCGGTTGTTTCATAATTAGTTGAAGTTTCGTGGTAAGAAAAACACATTTCTACCCGAGAGAAAAAGAACCAAGATGTTTTTACAAACATATCACCTTTAAACATGGAAATCAAGCCACTACCAATTTGTCCCCTCCTCACGACTTCAACAAATTATATTATATATGTAACCGGGTTGTCACAACACCACCACAATGCCGGGCGCAATTTTTATTTTGAAAATATTGACATGTTGCATAAAGCATCCTCAGACCTGCGAAGAAAAGCATAGAAGACTTTGTAAATCAACGTGGAGAACTATTGTAATGTGCAGAAAATTTTTCAAAAAATCACTCCAGGGCGTCACAGGTGTGATTACGTTATCACGTGTTCTTCTCTATCTTATAGCTGAGGTAATTCTCTCCTTAGAGATTTCGATTCTGTGAAAGTTATTAAGAGTTAGAATTTCCTGTTTTTTCAGCAAAAATATTTAACTGGAGAAATTTTCAGCTTTTAAATTTGTAAAATAATTGTCATCTTACTACAAATGAAAAACAAAACAAATATAGTAAGTAGTTAACTGTGCTAACAATCGGATATTTGTTTTTGGTTCTAAAATAACCGTTAATTGTTGTTAATTTGTTTGAAAATATAGGCCCTGATGAGGACCTTGACGACCGGTTCGAAAGCTTGGAAAAGTTGGAATTTTGTTTTTATTCCACACCTTGACCATAATACTGATCATACATCAAATTGAACGTCAAGTGGTCGATACCTTCTCTTCAATAACTTCATTCTCCAATTGAGAGATTGTACATATTTATTTAAGATTTTTTTTTAGTCCTTCGATCACCGATTGTGCCTAGGGATCCTTTTTTACAATTAAGAACACAATGGATCAAGGTATTGTCTTTAAGAAGAAAGTAAATTCAGTTGCCATATAGCATTCTGTATTGTCCTTGGTAATGTTAGGACTGAGTAGATCTTTAAGGGAATTTTGAGATCTCCTGTAAAACCTTAAATGTGTCAATCTGTAGAGACATTTAAGACTGTTTTGCCCTGTTGATGACCTTAAAATGTGCCGAAAGCTTGGCCTTAGCAACTAAATTTGCTTTCTTTTTCAAGACTATACCTTCATCCAGAGTGTCCGTAAGTGAAAAAGTGGTCGATACTTCTAATACTCAAAACAGAAACTTCATAAGGTAACAAACGTCATATCACAGTTCTTGGCAATATTGGGCTTGAGTCGGCCTTCAAGAAATGTTTGCTTTCTTCTGCAAAAACTTAAATATGTCAATGTGTAGACATATTTATGGTTGATTTGCCCTGATGATGAACTTAAAATAAGTCAAAACCATGTCCGTAGCAACTGAATTTGCTTTCATCCTCAAGAGCATGCCTTGATCAAGGGTGTTCGTGAGTAAAAAAGTGGTCGATACTTCTAATACGCAAAACATAAGGTAACAAACGTCATGAAGACAGTTCTTAGCAATCTTGGACTGAGTCGGTCTTCAAGGAAATTTGAGATTGCCTGCAAAAACCAAAATATGTCAATGTGTAGACATATTTATGGTTGCTTTGCCGTGATGATGAACTTAAAATAAGTCAAAAGCATGTCCGTAGCAACTACATTTGCTTACTGCTACAAACGTCATGGTCACAGTCCTTGGAAATATTGGGGCTGAGTCGGTCTTCAAGGATCTCCTGTAAAAACTTAAATGTTTCAATCTGGAGACACATTTAAGATTGTTTTGCCCTGTTGATGACCTTAAAATGTGCTGAAAGTTTGGCCTTAGCAACAAAATTTGCTTTCTTTTTCAAGATCATATGTTGATCAGAGGTGTTCGTGCATAAAAAAGTCATCGGTACTTCTAACACTGAACACAGAAACTTCATAAGCTAAAAAACGTCACGGTCACAGTCCTTGAAAATATTGGGGTTGAGTCGGCCTTCAAGGATCAGCAAAAACTTAAATTTATCAATGTGTAGACATATTTATTGTTGATTTGCCCTGATGATGACCTTAAAATAAGTCGAAAGCATACCCGTAGAAACTAAGTTTGCTTTCAGTTCAAGACCATATCTTGATGAAGGGTGTTCGAGCGTAAAAAAGTGGTCGATACTTCTAATACTCAAAACAGAAACTTCATAAGGTAACAAACGTCATGGTCACAGTTCTTGGCAATGTTGGGACTAAGTCGATCTTAAAAGAAATTTTGAGATCACCTGCAAAAACTTCAATTTGTCAATGTGTAGTCATATTTATGGTTGATTTTCTCTGATGATGAAGTTACAATAAGTCGAAAGCTTGCCCGTAGCAACTGAATTTGCTTTCTTCCTCAAGAGCATACCTTGATCAAAGGTGTTCGTGCGTAAAAAAGTGGTCGATAATTCTAATACTCAAAACCCAAACTTCATAAGGTAACAAACGTCATGGTCACAGTTCTTGGCAATGTTGGGTTTGAGTCGGTTTTCAAAATTTTTTTCGATCTTCTGCAAAAACTTAACTATGTCAATGCGTAGACATATTTATGGTTGCTTTGCCGTGATGATGACCTTAAAATAGGTCGAAAGCTTGGCCGTAGCAACTACATTTGCTTTCTTCTTCAAGACCATACCTTCATCAAGAGTGTTCATAAGAGAAAAAGTGTTCGATACTTCTAGTACTTTCTTACAACGGCAGAGAATTACTGGAATGTGCCAGGGGCCGTGATGTTGCACCATCGGCCCTTATGGGACGCTGACTTTCTGTTGGTGGAATATGTTTAAAAAAGGACGAATGAAAACATCGGGACTACTGTTGGCATTATCCATTATTTTGTTGAAGACAAGTCAGCAAACGAGAGGTGAACGTGCGGACTTTGCATCCTTCGTGGCGGAGTGAACGAGCGGCCTCGAAAGATCAGGATTCCGACCGCTTACATCAGCGCTGATTGGTCGATTTATCATTTTTATCAGACGAAACTATTCAAGTTTTTGTTAAACCAATACCAAAAAAATACATAACTAAGATAAAACTGTGTTGAACAATTGTTTAATTACCGCAATTAAAGATGGTCGTTATTATTTTAAAGATATTAGTTTTATAATAAAGATTCGAGGGGAGGCCGACCCGCGGTTGTTGAGACTCTTTGGTGGGAGGGAATATAGTGACATTTGGAGAAGGGATCCTCTTGGGAACATCCAAGGTCAAAGGCGGGATCAAACATGAAATTAAATTTTTGAGTTTTTTCACTATTTAATAGAAAATGGAAATAAGAAGTCTATTTCAGAAATAATGAAAAGATCGATCATAAATTTCTTTTCTGTTTGGAAGAAAATGCGCCAAAAATTCCTCCTTTTTTTGTAATGCCACTGACCTCGGTATATTTAAGAAATAGTGACGTTGAACATTTATTTCTCTCCGGGTAAGTTGAAAATGTTCGCCTATACCGTTCCGTTTTTCAAATTTTCGTTCGTCCGGTCTTAATTTTGGTTCAAAATTCAAGTCGTAAATTGTATTTACCCGTTGTTGGTGGGTGGGACCGGATACTCTTGCGGCAGTTTGAAGAACGGTGGCCTCCCTCTGTTGCTATCGGTGCGAAGCACAGGCGAAGCAGCCGGTATCCAAAGCACAGGGACACGGGTCACAGATCACAGACACATAATCCACGTTTGCACCTGACGCGAACGGAGAAGGCCGGTAGACTGTCGGTGGAAGGCGGCCGTTTGCACGGACGTGGCGTGGTGGGGACGCCGCCCGGGGAAATTCAAAAGAAACCCTGCTCCCATCTCTTCAGAATACTACCCGGTCTGCAAACGTCAGATGGAACAGGTACGTAACCTTTCTTCCGCCCTCCGTTTCCTACAATCTGGCTCCGCCATACAATTTCTTTTTTTTTTTATATTTCTACAATATCTTGACCTAGTTTCATTTTCATTATTTCACACTTAAAAATTTTATTAATAGTTTTTTTTTCTATTCGGTAGCGTTATTAATTTCGACGGAACCTTCCCGAAGAAAAAAGGTTTTCGCGCGCCCTTGGATCGAAGCCGACCACTCACCTGTTTCCAGTTGGTAACATCTCCCCGGCTGGTCGAACCGATTCACATTTGCCACGTAAGTTTCTGACTTTTTTTAATGTTTTCCTCACCCTGGTCTTTTCTCGTATTCCTTTTTACTCGGTTCACCCTCCGTTATGCCGACAAACACGCGATTCCTGGAAAAACACCATGTCTTTTTATTTCCCCATTAAGGTTTAAGCCCTGAAGATGACAGTATAAAAACTGTCGAAAGCTCGGCGAAAACCGAAAGGAAGTTTTTCTCTGTGTTGACCTCTTCCGTAGATCATCCGAAAAAACTTCAAAAAAACAAAGATGTTTGCTTGGTTGGTTGTCTCTGTTCAACGTTCTCTCAACCGACACTTCTCAAAATTAATATAAATATTTGTTCTTGGGATTTCCAAGAGTGGCCAAATTCTTTCTCATTGTTTACATCTCTGATCCATGACAATAAAAGCTTGTCTAATCTTTTTGAATAGATGATTATTACTCTTACAGCCTTACAACCTGGTGGTGGTGGGCTTTAAGCTGGAAATCCGGATAGTTGAAAACAACAAAACTGTGGGTAAGAGCCATCTTTTAAAATTATGAATATTTATACCCATCCTACCTTTATCATTTCTACTAAAACCTTGACGGAAAAGCTTCACTGTTCCTTTCTTTGCGGCCCACCTTTGAAATTAATAGAAACGATGCATTTGTCGAACGAAAATAATAAAATGAAGTGTTGGTGGTGCGTTATCAAAATATCCGAATGCTTGCAAATTTTTATCTTCATAAGCTAACAGCATTCCGTTCTCAACTTCCGAAGGATTGCTATGTTTGACTGAAGTTTTACATCCCTGACTCTTGCTTGAACAATTGGGCAACACCTACCATCCCACAAACAGCTGAAACTCCCGTCGTTTCCAACCCCGCGGCACAGGTATTAACGTCGCATTAACAATCTCGGGATACTCGTCCGTCGAAGGTGTTTCTTGGACAACCGAAGCCATGATTTCGGATGCTCATGGAAGTAGGAATGATTATTGACCCAGATTTCTTTTTTCCCCGCTTATCATTCTGCTCTTTATTTTTAAATTTATATTTACACAGTCCTCTCCAGTTGCTATGTGCCGAAGTGCTGGTAGCGTGTCTGATACATGGGTTTTAAGGACCATTTTTCAACAAAAATACCAGTCACAATGACCTCAATTTAACATGTGAAATGTATTGCCAACAATATTTCGAAATCTTGAGGATATAAATCATTTTTCTAACAAAAAGAAAACTGACAACCCTCTTTGTTTTCGCTGTGGAAATCTTCCATTGTTGACCACTCCTCTCAACTTTCTTAAGACGATAAGTGGATTTCTTTTTTCCATCCGGTTTTGCCTACATAGACCTTTTATTAAAATACAAATCACACAGAAGTTCACATATCGATACATCCTTCCGCCTGGCGAAAGTTATCGCTGAAAAGGGGACATGGGTGTCCCAAAATATATTCGATATATGCAAGACAGCTGGTTGTTATTGTTCTAAGTTTTTAACAAACCTGACCACTGTTCGTATAAACAAAAATTTAAGAAAAAATGTATACATTTAAACTTTAATAATGAGAAAAGGACATTACAATAACAAATATCGTTTTGATAAGGAAAATCATGTTTTTTCCAAATCTTAAGACAAGAAAAATTAATATACAATTAATAAATTACAACTTATTACTGATATACATTCAGTTACTTCAACCAGGGAATCTAAATCAGATTGCTCTGATTAGTCTAACCTAATTTAAGACTAGTTAACTAAAAAGATTACAAAATCTGAAGGGTGGGAGAGAGTGCCGATGACAATTGTAGAAACAGCACCTGCATCCTGGCATTGTCATCACTTTATTTATTTAATAATATAATTACACTCGTATATAACTCCTCCTCCCTTATGAGAAAGCTTCCCTAGAAGCTCGTGGTAGAGGGGGAAAAAAAGTAGAAATTTGAACGCCTTAGTGATTTATATTGGAGATCTTATCCAAAGTTAAAGTATTATTTCACATTTGCAACGAAACACACCTGTGGTTACTTTAGGCTAGCATGCTTTTCTTAAATCTACACAAAATGATCGTGATTATGGGTTGTATGATGGGTAGAATTATATTCAGAAGGATGGTCCAAAGACTGGGATTAACACGTATGGCTGGGCTTTCTTGGGTGAAGGTCGGTACGTCAGATTCTAATTTTCGTAGATGAACGATGATGTTCAGGTCCTTCATCTTTCCCGGAAGGTTAAGCCGCTCGACCCGTGAGGTCGTTCAGTCGTAGAATAGTTAGCTGCCTTCTGCGTCTCTGAGGAACAATTCTTTCAATTAATGCGTTTCCCGGCCACTCGGAATTAATGTTTTAATAGTGTCAGGTTTCGCAAAAATTGCCAGGCATTGTTCGATTTGTGGAATTAGTCGGAATAAATTAGTGACTATGTTGATGTCTGCAATGTCGCAATGTTCCATGTTTTTATGGTCTAATAAGTTCCCGCCGCAATGTGTTGCTTCATGAACCTCCTCCTCAGTGGAGCAATGTAAAACTCTGTCGGTGTCGGGGGATTGTGGTATTTAAAATATGCTATTTGTAAATTCAACAAATTCTGTACTCGTTCATAGAACTCATTTGTGTTTCATTTTGTTGCGATTGTCTTGAGATTTAATCTGGAGGGTATACTCGTCCCTTTTGTCGGCTTAACCCTCCAATAATGGAGTTTTTAAATCTGCCCAGTTTGAGACGTTACTATTTTCAATCATTTGAGATGAAGGACCTTTTTACTTCTTACACAAGAAAGCAGGTATGCATTTTGAAAGTTATTTGGTTGGTTAGTATCTGTAAATTTGTTAACCAGTTTTTACCATATGTCTATGAATCGTGTTAGAAAAGTTGGGTCCCATTGAATTCCAGGAACATATGCAGAAATTCTCTTTTAAATTCTGGGAGAGTTATTAATAAGAATTTTTTGTTTTTAAGATTATGTTAATAATAGTACACATTTAAATGAGACTTTTTTAAATTGTTGTTTTACATGAAAACGAGGGCTCCTACGACCTATTCCCTAGTTCCCAGGGTCTCTAAGTTCGATGTCGTCGTCAGAGAGTTAAGTTCATATGCACTGAACTCTTCACAGATTTTTGATTGTACGATTGTCGATTAACCGTTGAAACGGAAAGTTACTCGATGTTCGTTCAATAACTTTCGACCAAGTCCAACCTTCCGACTACGCCAGTTAAACAATATCTTTTGACTTAATCCGTTAAAAAAAAATTATTCAAAGAAAATACAAATGATTATTGATATACAAATAGTTACTTTTAATCTGGGAATTTAAATCAAATTTCTCTGATATGCCTTCAGGAAAATCTAACAACATTGTCAACTTTTACTTACTAAGATTACAAAATCTCTAGGGTGGGAGAGAGTGCCGATGACAATTCTGGGAACAACACCTGCTCCCTAGCATTGTCATCATCTTATATATTTATGATATAATTATGCTAGTATATAACTTGCTGTGTTGATTAACTGTTAATATTTCTAAAAAAGAGTTAAAAAAAAAAAAAAAAAAAAACAATTTCTTTCCTAATAAATTTTTAAAGAAACCAAATATTCATAATGTTAACAACTTTGGATACAGAAAAAATTGAATAACTTCAACTTACAATAGTGTGTAATATAAAACTTTTAAATGTAGCGTTTAACAACTTCAACATTAAAATCAGTGAAATTAGGTGAAAATTTCATCAAAATAAAATTGAATTTATATATATATGCATGACAAACTGTTGTGGTTAGCATGTTTAAATATTTAAGTAAAAAATTTAGGGACAATTTCAATTAATTAAGGTTTTTAAAAAGTATAATAAAAAAGTCAATGTCACGAGCGGGATTCGAACCCACGATTTTTAGCTAGATATGCAGCTGCTCTACCACTTGAGCTGTCGAGACCTGGATCCACTCGACACTAACTTCCCATCTCAACCCCACCTTTTGAATTTTCCTTCCTTTTTGCCATTTTTCAAATGTCGTGTAATCGGATTGGATTCTCGACGACAAATGAAATGGCCACGGAGAGCTTTGGTGAAGGTATACTTCATTTTAACTGATTAAATTCACTAGTTTTCGTGGTCCGCTTGACCAATTAATATCTTTCAAATAACTTTTTTATCTCAATTAAAAACCTTAATTAATTGAAAGATATTAATTGGTCAAGCGGACCACGAAAACTAGTGAATTTATAGGGACAATTTTTTTTAAAAATGAGTCCAAGCAATAAATTCAAACGGCGGTATAAAAGACAAAAATTATGCCAAAATAAATTTATTCAAATAAATATCTGTAAACATGCCAATATATCTGGGCGTAGAAATATTAATCATGAAAACAATTCATGTTTAGCAAATGATAGTAGTCTAGTCGTAAATAAAAACAAAAAAACAGCTTCCATCTTATATTGTGGAAATACTAGCATATGGTTCTAAATTTGCCTTCCCTTGCTCTTTTAATTATTTCCAATCGGATCAAATTATCCGTGAAGGTTTACGTATAAATAATGAAACGGTACTTACATATTAAATAGTCCAGGCAAAACGTCGACAGAAAAGTATAACACATACATCAACATTTGCTTATTTTGCAATAAAATTATCCTAAAAGGGGCAAAGTCGCCTTTTAGCTATAATGTTATCTTCATATGTATTCATACACTGCGCAAAAACCACAAAATATAATGTAGTTGGTTAATTTTTGAAATGAAAATTGCGCAGTGGAAGCTACTTAATAACTGGAGATGTTATCAAACATAATTAAATTGTACATATTAATGCCAGATGTATTCAGTTTTTTTTTCGATGAAAGTATTACTTGTTTCTAACAATGTACATTTAAAGAAATATAATAATCATTACCATTCATCTAATGCCTGTAAGCCCACCGTGGTAGTAATTTCCAGTCTGTTCTTTTTATGCTAAATACAAGAAAGATTGAAGATTTCATCATGAATGTATAATTTTTAATATAATTTTCATTTATGTAGGTTAAGGGTAGTCATTGAATGTAAAAGATAGCGCGAAATCTTTAGAATTCATTGCGTTTTTATTTAGCACGCGTTACCTGTTAATTACAGCATTTTTATATTAGAAAAGTATGGACAAATCCATTGAACTTCTATTTAGAAAGTTTTGATTAAAGAGGTACTTAAAATCATGGAAACATTAATAAAATATTAAACTGGGCGATTTCTCTTTCAAATAGCCAGATTCCTGGCTTGGTTCAGTTTGGACGGTTCCGATTATGGTTCGGCTAGTCTCGCTGTTTGTGTCTTTAATAAGCAGAACGACAGGAAACTAAAGTCTTGACACCAATGGAACGTGTTTGACAGATATATAATTATCGGACCTAGGATGATGTGTTACTGAGGAGATTTAAGCCTCAGACGAGAAAACAAACTGTATTTTTTCTCATCTGTATTTGGTCCTTTCTGTTCTGAAAGTCTGTCTGACGTATGTTGCATATTCTCGCCATCTTCAGTGATGGGTTTTTCTCTGCATTGAAATCCTCTTGATGGAGACATTCCTTGTCTGCCTAGTTAAATGGAGGTATCAAGATGATCGGAGATGATCAACCATGTTAATACCTCACAATATTCCTCGCATGGTTTACCATATGTCGTGCCATTTACTTCAATGACAATAAAACTATTCAAATAATGTGATGCATTTCACGAAGAAAAAACCACCATTGAGGATGCCATAGACGGAAACAACGAGACTAAGCGGACAAGGGCCATCAGAGACAAACTTGATACAAATTACATCAATACAACTTGACAAATATTGAATTGGATTTGTACGAGTGCAAATCTTGACATGTAGGTACATATTTATGCAGATGTTCAGAGTTGGGCTTATCATTCTCGCGTTCCTCCTGCCTCCAGACCCGGGTGTTGACAGTCCAAGGTCAGACCTCAGTCTGATCCGTCCAGCCATCGAGGTTGGGCTCCGATGTCAGGTCAATTTAGCTTGCCAGCTTTATTCTGAAATAATGTGTAATGTGAGAGAGTCGAGAGGGGACGCGCAGTCTTTAGATCCAAACCTTTAACTACTTTCTTTCCTATTCACATACCATTCACTCAACTGGGCTGCTGGAGTATTCGACATTCCTGCATCATAACACATATTATATAACTAATCTAACTTAGGATTGACGGGGATAATCAATATTCCGTAATATATCCGGGTGTTCTGGGTACATCAAGTATTCCAATGAGTGAATGGTAAGTAAATAGCAAGAATGTACATACACCCCCTATCGACACTCTCAGACTAAACATTCACGCTAATAAATACATTCTCTCTCTCAAAACTCTAGGGATACAATACTTCCTACAAAAATTGGAAGAGTAGACCATGATACTGATAGAATCACTGCTCACGCCCATTCTCATATCGGGTGTCATTCGTACACGTTCTCCAGCCAAGGAGTTGCACCCTTCACTTAGGTGGAACACATCTTCTTTGGAGGACGACTCTTCTTCTTCGAGTCCGATACTCCGACGGCCACCTATCGAGAGTAGTCTTGATAGGTGCGAAGTTCTCTGCCGACCCGGAACACGACAAAATAACAAAAAACGAAATCCTATGGTTGTCGACTGGCTCGTGATTTAATTCAAGTGCACGTCGTCATGTTTTTGTCGCACACATTTTACATTATTCATTCGCAGACATATGCCCTGAAAGTCCGCGTGGAATGGGTAAAAAGAAAAAAATACCCTCTTTAAAAACAAAATGCTATTAAACTACCAATGTTGGTGGATTTTCATCACTGATTTTGTTAAAAGTCAACTCGACTCATAATTCGGATTATGAACTTTGAAAGAGATTACGACCAGGGATTAGAATTTCAATTAATTAGCTACCGTGTATAATTGGCCATTTATAATTTAATATAATATAGTACGACGCGATGTCGGGAAGTTTTTATTGTTGTCAGTCAAACTGGAAGATTAGGAAAAGGGTGGAAATTTATAAAAGATAAAAATGAACAGTTGAAACATTTCTCCGTCAGAAGAACGAAACATTTCCCTTGGTTTAACAATTCATGAATCAACGGTTCAATCATCAATTTTACATTTTTTAAATATAAAGGTATTCCTTTTGAAAAATCGCTTCGAACATTCTTACATAATACAAATAAAAAAGTGTTCATGAATTGTTCGTTAAATGAAAGTGATGTCAAAGCTCAGAACAAAGCTCGGATTGTTAGGTATTATACCGTTTTCTGGAGAAAGAAAATATCCATAAATAATCCAGGAGCACGCCATATAGGACTACAGATATATAAAAAAAGAGAACTGGAAGGTTTTGTACTTTCTACTTATCAATCATTTGCAACAACTGCGACAAGTGTTTTAAAACTTTTATAACGATTTCTCATAAAAGAGAAGTTCAAGACTTCTATACAATTCAGCCCGCCAGGTTTGTCAAGGAAAAGGGGAAAACTTGGTTGAAGAAATGGCAAAGAAAGAAGAGAAGATAAAATAGAAGGGCGAGTCGACAGCGTAAATAAATGAAACAAAACAGGCAATTTTTTCTATCCGCTTTGTTAAAATTTATACGGGGATCCTTTGAAGATTTAAAAAATTAACGATTTCAACAACAGGTGTTTCAACGCATTTGGGAATGTATAGTGCGGTATTGCCGGAACCGGGCTCACCGACCATTAATAATTGATAAACAGGTCCACCGGATGCAATCAAGGCTGGTCCTAGTCCACTATAAACCTAACATAAATAACTAATCTAATATAATGAACCACTACTTACTGATGTGATTTTTAAAACAAAGAACATCTGGTTTGTCATCGCCCAAGGCTCGTTTTGAATATCACACTGAGACTCTTATCAGCAAGCGTGTCCATTTTATTTTCTATTTATTTCTTGCCACATTCGTACTGCCTGTCTTATCATTTCGATAGTTTATAATGTTTTTATTTAAATTTTAATCAATAGAAACTGTTGTAAGTAGAAAAATATACCCTATGTTGTTTGGTGGGATACAAAATAAAAAACTGTTAATTTGATTGTTTTATTCGATCTGAGAAACAAAGTGATTAGATAGAACTGAAATTAATTGAAACCGAAAAGTTTCACAGGCACTGCTTAACGTCCTAGATTGTAATTTGATGAAGTCGTGAGGACGGTCCGGAATAAAGTATTTTAGAAAAACACCTTTTCGTTTAAATGCGGACGTTTCGACCTTTATTCAGGTCATCTTCAGGGAATAAAGTGTGGTGCTACTCTTATGGTGTCGTTCGAACTTGTTATTTTGTTCGCACACCGTCGTAGATTATTTTGTTTTCTGTCGTTTTATTACAACTACAAACATTGTAGCTGTGGAGAGAGGAGGAGAGAGGGAATGGCAAGGGTCTATGTCCTGATGGGGTGGGTATTGTGACGTAAAGATGGACTAGCAAAGGAGTGTGAAAGGGAAAGAAAGAGAGGGAGAGAGAGAAGAACAAAACAAAAAACATTAAAAAACTAAAATCTCTGGAATAGTGATGGATATTATGTGGAACAGTAAGAAAAATAAGCAATTGGGCACGAGAATAGGTAAAAGGAAAAGGAAAATATGTAAAATAATGAAAGGCGATAAAAATGAAAAAGAGGAGTAAGAGAGAGAAAGAGAGAGAGAGAGAGAGAGAGAGAGAGAGAGAGAGAGAGAAAGAGAGATAGAGTAAAAGAGAGAAAATGACAAAATTAAAAAAATGAAAATATCGAGAATAATGATAGATTGAAGTGGGACAAAGAAAAAGAGGCAATTGGGCAAGAGAGAAAAAGGAAAATAAAGTAAGTATAGCCAAATGAACAAAGGCGGTAAAAAATGAACGAGAAGATAGATAGAGAGGGAAAGAGAGAAAAAGAACGAGAAGTAGAGGGAGAGAGAATGGGCGAGAAAGAGAGAGAGAGTGAGTGAGACGGAGAGAAAGAGAGTGAAGGAGAGAGAGATAGATAGATGACCTAGCGGTGAAAATTTATTGTGGAGGAAGAAGAGAAGAAGTAGAAAAGGAATGCGAAAGAATGAGAGAGAAGGGGAGTGATATACAGAAGGTATAGAGGAAGAAAGAGTTCCGGAAAAGGAGAACTATAGGGATTAAGAATGAAAGAAAGAGAGGGAGTGACAGAATGTGTATGTGCATGTGTTTGAGAGAAAGATAGATAGATAGATAGAGAGTGAGTGAGTGAGTGAGTGAGTGAGAGGGAGAGAGAGAGAGAGAGAGAGAGAGAGAGAGAGAGGGTTCGTGGTGCCTGTCCGTGAGTGAAAGGCGAATATGGAGCTAAAGATAAAAAAGAGCCAGTGGAGTCGGAATGAAAACCGATATTTAGAGTTTCTCGCCATCACCATTAAATACAGTTACGAGTCCTACGGTCAATTAACTGATATTACACGAATTACAATCTGTTAATTATTTCTTAAGGACGATTTCGTCGAGAAGAGGGCCCGGAGATCTTCTTGGACCGGTTCTTTTGGTCCTTGGCACCGGTTCACTCGGCTCCGGTTGTCCTAGCAGCTCTGACTTCGGACGGAAGCCTGGCCCGCATTCCCACGAGGTACCGTAACCTAAATTGAAACCTTGAATGCATGAACGTTCTTTCCAGGATAATCAGGAGCGCAGTTATTTTAATCCTGTTCTTCCTGTTTTATTACACCTCAGATAATAGTACTGTTTTATTAATAGTTTCATTCACAAACGATCGGATAGTGTTTCCGTAATAATTTTGTTTTTACTACTGTATTAATTTTAAATCGTATTCTGCCTTAACCATAATGACTTTTATTATTCGAAAGAACTTTATTGTTTGTTTTTTCTACATGAAACTACGTGGCTCTGTTTGTGAAATTATTCAGTAAATTATGGACACAATCGAGATGGAGAAATCAATATTTATTTTAAGCATTTCTGTTATGGAAAATCGAGATTGAATTTATCCTACAGGTCTACAGTGGGTCAAAAGAGCATTGGCACACACCACATTAAATCGCGAAAATATGAATATCAATTACTTGATATTAAATGTATTAAAAAACTAGCATCCAACTATTAATTGTTGGTGGCAATAAATATAACTTTCTGACACAATCTATACAAAAAAGAGAAGTAGTTATTTTACCCTGAGGGAAATGGCCTTAAAGAATAAAACCCAATCTAAATTTCAGGAAAGCTCCAGGATTCGACCTGATAATACGAAAAATTTAGAAATAATTTCCAAAAACGTATGTTGAAATTGACGAATTTATTTAATGCGTCAACGAGATTTAGGTATGTCCCAAATGTCTGGAAAGTTGCTGAGATCATGACAGCAAAATCAGGTAAACCACTAGTAAAGTAACATAGTACTGCGGCATATCATTGCTCCCATTTATTTCAAAATTATTTGAAAACGTTTCAAATTCATTGAGAAACTCAACATTGTACCAAAGTCTCCAGTTTCGATTCAGAACCAAGCATTCAACCGTAGATCAGATACATACAATCACTGGTATTATACAGAAAGTTTTGTAATGTAAAAAAAGGAAAGTTCAGTTTATTCCTAGACATATGGTAATACTTTAGACAAGTTTTGGTACGAAGTTTATTTGGAGATCGTGAAATGCGATCTAGTGTGACGTAGGGTTTAAAAAAACATTTTCCTTATCGTGCCAACGTTTCGATCTTTATTGAAATCATCTTCAGGGCTCGTGTTGACACACAATCGACATACCTACACAGACAAAAACACTTTGAGCCCTCAAGATGATCTCAATAAAGATCAAAACGTTGGCACGATAAAGATAACGTTTTTCTAAACCTACGACTCACCAGACCGCATCTCACGATCTCCAAATATTCATTAATTAACGGCCACCAAACACCACACGTTTGAAAAGGTTTAATTCATAAGATAAAATACTACTTTAAAAGATAAGTTCTTACCTTGTTATTATCAACGATCCAGATTTCAAGCATTGAATGCTCATCATCAGGGTGAAGGAGTTACAAAGACGTCTCTCGACATGAATTGTCTTGTCACACAACTCATGTTGATGTACTTTTGTAACTCCTTCAACCTGACGATGAGCGGTTAATGCTTGAAATCCGGATTTTAGAAAACGACCAACAGTAAGAAATATATTTAGAGTAGTTGAACCACATACCTCACCCCATCTTTATCATTTCTATCAGCTTAAATATTTCCTAATCAATATGTTGAACTTTTAACCTCCTAATCTTTGTAAATTATTAATAATAGTTTCAAAGTCCTGATGAAGGGGATGCGTTCCACAAAGGAACTGAATGTTTTCATTCCAAATTGACCTTATTGGTGACTAAAAACATGAATTTAAAAAACCCGGGAAATCTCTTAAAAGATTTAATAAAATGAAATATTTAGAAAATATTATAAAAGAGGAAAATAATTTGACTTAACCTTTTGACTTCTGGTCTATCTCTGTAGTTTATAGCATTTCCTTGTAAATCATTAAATAACGAGTTTTATTTTCCAAAACACCTGAAAAACATTGAATAGAAGAGTCTAATAGGTTGTTTTTGTCTTACAAATTAGCCTCTCGGATTATGAAACATTTGACCCCAAAGCTCCTTCGAAGGGCTTCTACCACCGAGGAGTTCCGGGAGATTTCTCATCTTTTTATCTTATCTTCAAATTTAAAATTTAATCTCATCTTTATCGCGTCGTCAGCCGATGTTGACATTCTCAACCTCCCTCGACGTCTTTCCTGACCGCGCGTTCAAATCGTTACGAAGAACTGGGATGATCCTATGTGAAACAGAAACACCGGGTACCACTTGGCAACGCTGTGCCGCAACCTGTTCTTGCTCCTTTTTCCTCTTCCGACCGGTCTTCGCGTGAAGATAGTCCCCCCAGATATTGCAGATAGTGATTCAGCAGCAGGATCAATGACAACTACGGTCGCATCCGCTCCAGCACTGAAATCTTTACCCTATAATGCTGACAATTGTTTATTCGTCTGAATTACTGCCAACAGGGTGAACAATTTTATCATAATAACTATCATTAATATCAAATAACTAATTAAAAATTTGGATAAAAGACAAGGGTATTATTTAAGAGAGTCTTAAGGGTCATTTTTAATTAAAAGTTTTTTAAAAAAATCTATCCTCATTTAGACAATTTTAACGTAAATCCTACTCAAGGGGTAGATACACCATTTCAACCTAATTTTAATCATGAATGAACATAGATTGTAGAGTATCGTTCTAGATACACATTATGAAAAATGCAAGGAAATTTATGCACATTTATTCCAAAAGTAGTAATTATTGTGCTCTACGGCAAAACTCTACAAATTCCATCTAAATTTTATTTTTAAGACTATTCAGACTCTCCAATTCTGAATGCAATGTTTTCGGAAGACGTGCATCGGTTTACTCTGGATATCATCTAGTGTTTAGCATTTACGTCAATGTACTACTTATGCCAACGTGAAATTGACTCGATCCTTCTCTTAAGTAATATTGGAACATTGTCTATGCTACATTTCTTCTCCTTAGGTTCTCGTGGTATCCGAGGGTGTCCCCATTAAGCAATTGCTTCACGTTCAAAGTTAATATGGGTAGTTGTTTCTTCCTCCTCATCGTCCAACCTAAAAACGGGGTCATTATTGAATATACGCGAGTTGTGTAGATGTTTTCTCAGACCGGTAAATAGACCTATCACTCCACTAAGTTTAGACCTCTTTAACTGTAGCAGTGAGTTTACCAGTTTTGATGAAGTTTTAGCATAAGTTTACTGTGTGTAGCGACCCAAGAGTGTATCTTTTTTTAATCCAAGTTCAGGACTTATGTATATTCTTGCTGGTCCTACTCTGGCCCGTGGGTCTTCCTTTTATCCAAAATTCCTTTCTGCTCTCATACCTAAGATAGCATCGGGTATCTGCTGATTCTATTGATTACTCTTTTGAGCTCGAAATATTTAGTTCCAGTTTGATTACTTCTGGAGCCTAAGGGAGATTTTGCTAGCTTCTCCTTGTATAAATATTTCTAGTAAAACTGGATTAAGCAGAGTTTCTCGTGTAACTGAGTGATTGTTTTCTTGTCCCTGTTTTGTTTAGTCTGCTAATTTTTAAATGCTGGCTAATGTTGACTAGCTTTTTTTACCACCAAACAGCTAGGCCATAGGTGGTTCTCACATTTTCTTTCTCTGCATTTTCAAACACGTCTGTATCCTTCACATATAAGAACATACCAACAATTCAATTCACTCATACCAATAACTAATTACATCACACGTACTCTTATATATAATCAATCACGCTAATAAATACAAGCATTTCTCCTTAAATACATAAATTCCTATATGCAGTTAAAAATAGGAAGGATGCCCCCGGGGTACTTGATATTCCGCCGATGACAACTCCTTACATTCATGCCAAAAACAAGGCCTAGATAACAGACCGTCAACGTATTTGGATATCCTGTAGATCGACCTGTTCCCATTCATACCAATTTATTCAACATTCTCACTAATAAATGCATACATTTATTAGCATATTACCAAATGCAAAGATACAGATTATACGAAGTAATACACTTTTACTACTCGCAAATATTCAAAAACAAAAACGGTAGTCACTGCTATGCATCAAAATTTTTTTTCATCTGCGGGTAGACCACAATTTTATCTGTAATTTCAAACGTCTCATTTGCTCTTCACACTCTGGGCAACATTTCTGTAGGCCGTCCCCCAGCAAATGGCCATGTGTGGGACAGGTGTGGCCTATCCTCACTCTTGCTAAATCGTTCTATCTTTGTTTTTCATTTTTTCCACGAGCAGACTAGCTTTCTCGAGCTTTGGTCCACCCGATTAGTGATTCGTTGGTTATTTGGGGGGGGGGTGTTATTTTTTATATAACCGATGGGTCATTTTTGGTTTTAGTCTCCAAGGTTTGCCTAGAGTTCTTCTCCTGGTCAATAGTGATATTTTATTTTTGATATGATGTAATGCAGGTATTGTCCCAGGTTAACGTATTGTCAAAGATTATTTCTAGTTATTTAACCTCGGTTATAATTGAGTCATTTCTTTATAGACACATTGGCCTTATATTTCTATATTTCTTTTCCTGATGAATGCAATTAGTGTAGTTTCTAAGGGGTTATCTTAAGTCCTCGTTATGAGCATCATTGTTCCATCATGTTTGATACTCTTTGAGTGAGTTCTATTAACGTTTAGGCGAATTTTAAGTTAATTTAACAATGCCATCTGCATAGCTTTCCCCTTAAATTTACTATGCTTATGAGGTCGTCCATTTGCACATTCCACAGGAGAGGCGAAATTATTCCTCCTTTCGAACACAATTATATTTTATTGACTTTGATCTTTTTTGATTATTTTGGTTTTCCTATTTTCGCCGTTTTGATATGTGAACATTGGTCCCTCGCCATTTTCTGTGGCCCTATTACGATAGTGAAAACAGCAATATTATTATGAGCACTCATGTCATCAGGTTATTGTGTTTCCTCAGGTTTTGGAAATTTTGCATACATCCGCTGACTAGTTTTGATGTGATTTTTCTACTTGATAATGCTTTAATAGCTGCTTGGCTATCTCATCATATGAGGTTTTCTTCTTTCTTTGTCAGTGATCTCTTTTAAGATTTTCTTCGGCCTAAGCATTGATGGAAAAT